TATATATATTGCACCAACTGCACATAATGATTGTCAGCCCCTCACCATAAAAGTAGCCATTTTAGGGTTTCCATTGCTCTTTTTTTTTTTTTTACCTTGCTCTAGTAACTCTCAGTGTTTATTATGAAACATGACCTGGTGAACTCCCCATGCGTTCATTCACACTGCAGTCTAATTTTCTACTTGTAGCATAAAAAGTTCAAGTATTGTTGATAATTAAAAAAAAACTGACACTATTTGTAACTTATTTGGTTTGTCTGAAGTATGAAGAGGCAATATTCCAAAACAGCTAAAATGATATAAGTGATGTTTTAAAAGAATATAATAAACAATTAACAGTTCATCATAACACATTTTCACTCTCACTCTATGAAAAGTTAAATGAACTTCAGTTTCCTTTTTTGTCTCCAGTTATTACAATAAATCTTTTGTTCTTGACGAGTTCCCAAGGTAATTCATTATTCAAGAGACACAGAGTTCATTAAAAAGTAGAATGTAACCTATAGGTATTGAGGTAACAATCAGACCATGCCTGTTTTATATTCTCTTTGAAATTGATGCAATTAGCATATTTTCGTCTTATTTGTGCTTCTTTCGCTTTCTGCATTGATTCTTTACACAGTTGGACTTCACAGAGGGTAACGCCACATAAAAGAGCATCCTTTCGGTGTCTCCCTGTGGTTTTCTGGAGTGTGGAAACGGAGGAGCTCCAGGTTTTGTATGGGTGGGAAATAGAGCGCATGTAATCTGAAGCACGCATCTCCCCCCACTTCTCAGGYTGCAGCGTTAAATCGATATTCCGCAAAGCTTTCCCTTGTTTTCACATTCACTTGACTGCTGCCGTAATGCGCCGCGAGGGTCGAGCAGCCTCTTCTTGATTTTTGTGGCACTTGCGCGCCCTCCCGCCCCCCATTCCCCGGCTCTGTCCTCCCTGTTCCTTCTCCTCCACCTCCTCCTTCACTTGACTTCCCCTTCTCTCCATGGCAGACACCCTCATTTGGATGGCTCCAAGGCGATGCTCTTGTTTCATTTGTCTTCCGTGTTAACGGGAAGGCGGCAGGAATAAGCCACGGCGTTATCTTGAAACAAAACATTATCTCCGCTTTGCTCCTCCAACACCGTGAAATTGTGATTATTAGTTGGGCTCAAGGATTTTGAAGCTCACTGCTTTACTTAAAGAACATGAAGTGTGTTGCACAACACGTCACACATGCACACATCTTTAAAAATKTTATGACAAAGGAGGACGTTTCCCCTTGTCCCCTTGTGAGTTCCATCTGTACYGTTTTGCCCATCACCTTGAAGAGTACAGCCTAACAGTATTATGACTGGACGTGTGACAGCGACATTTTTTTCCCTACCAGAAAAATATATTCTATCATTTTCTTTTCAAGATTTCAAAGCCTCGTCGTRCATTCCGGCGTATAAAGACACACTTTACGCATTCACACATGCTCACTCGCTCGCACTCTACAGTTACGAAAGCAAAACCCTGCCTCTGCAAAATGGGTCATACACTGCAGTCACTGTATTTCACCAAGTGCATTGTGCTTGTGCGAACGCAAGACATGCAAATGTGTGATTAGACTTCAAAGGCAAAACTCTGGTATTAGGACACGGGAGTCTTTGCTGAACCGGGACTTGAGCGAGTCAAGCCGTTGAGTGTTTTCAGCAGTTCCGATCTTGTATGATTTCATTCGCACGTCAAGCCAAAAAACGCCGCTCTTTCCTTAATACCTTCAAACAGACAAGAGGAAGGTGCTCTCCCTCGGAAATAAACTCCATTGGCATCATTTTGTATTCCACTGCAGTGCCCTGTTTGCCTGACACGACAACAGGTTCAGCAAACATTTGGACGCATACAGTAGGATTTTCTCCAAAGACATAAAATATGAGCATTAACCTATGGTTCATGTACTGTACAAAGATTCACTGTCAGGCTAATAAAGACACACACACACACACACACACAGACACACTTGCAGATATTTAACCACTGTGGAATGAATTTGAGCTGTGGGGTTCAAAGCCTTGCCAATCAAAGAGGGAGCTCTATGCTGCCGTATTATAGACCCATCGCTGTGCGAGCTAATCTGTGATGTGCTCTAGCCCTATATTTAGACYAGTGTTTTGTGAACACTTAGCATAATTCGCTGAGACGACAGAAGCCTTTCGAAGCCGTTAACCTCATCGCTTTAAAACTCGTTTTGCCTTTCTTCAGCTGCGCATTCCGAAACACCTGTTCTCATCTTAGTTGCCTCACGAGTGCTCATCAGTTCTCAGAGCAAATTGTTTATTTGTGAAAAGCGATGATGGTGAGGTGCTGAGATCACGACCGTTAATGCAGACAGACAACCGCTGATTGTCTCAGCTGCTCATTAGGGAATTATTTATTTTTGTGCAGACATTTCCTTCTCGTCTCCATTGTTTTATAATGTAACAATGCAGTTCAAATATAACCTTAGTAAAACTTGAGTTGAAGAAAACCAGTAATACTGACACACCTGGTTATCATTTGGCTAGTACTCGCAGGAGCAAAGCTATTTTCAGTTTCCATATGAATGTGTGTGCACATGTGTGTATGTGTGCTCTGATCAGGTCTAGGTGGGACAGTGGGATTTGGTCATGATAAAAGGTTTTACCTCCGTCTGCTGTGTGGCCTGCACATGCATGTTTACACACAGCTGCACAGACAAGACTGACTGTCTGCTTCAAAAGTGTGTCCCTTAAGTGTTATACTCTGTATGCTTTGGCCACAGAAACAAGGCACACAGGGGGCCTGCATGGCATCTGCCTCCCTACTCCCGCAGCCAAGGCACGGGGCCGAGGGAAGGGCCTGGGGCCGAGATAAGCTCTTCCTCCCCTGGTCAGCGCTACTCCGTGGCGACTGGAGAGGCCTGGAGCCTCAGCTGAGCACCACTGATAGTATCCACAGGAGTGTACGTGAGTGTGCAGTTGGCACATTCACGGGTGCACGCGCTTTTGCACATTTGACAAGACTGACAAATATCGTAGTTAAGACCAAAAAAAATTTTTTTTAAAGAGTTTGTCCCTAAAGTATTAAAAGTTCTGCAGCGTAACGCCAAGTGTTCAGAGAAGTGTGTGCAAATGGGTTTCCTCTTGAGAAGCGCTTTAGCTCTCAGGAATCTGCACAAAATCAAAACAGGCAAAAAACACAAAAAATGGCTTTTTACAGCAATGACGGTCAACGAAGAAATTAACTGACATCTTATCTAAGCATAAAATGTTTTACAATGTAGATTTCACTGCCTAAACTGCAGCAACTGATAATAAATTAGGTTAGAAAATGAAGTATACCTAAGCAGAACGATGATCCAATTTGTGCATTACTGATTTTTTTAAACGATTTTATTTATTTCAAGGATAACCCCTTGAGATGCAACAACTAGTTATAGAGGGGGTCCCTACAAAACATAAATATAATCAAGAATAATACAAATCATTTATAAATAAATCAAAATATAATGTATGTAATACAAAGATCAAACACAGAAACACCCACACCATGCTCAAGTACACTCACACTCACCCACACACACTCTCACAGCTATGCGTACTTGCTGCTTCCCCAAACCTAGCCAGATAGTATATCACATGTATTCATACCAACTTATTATTATCATTATCATTAAAAAACAAAAAAGGAGCAGCTGTGGTGCAGTGATAGGACAGTCATCTTGGGACCAGAAAGTCACAGGTTCAATCCCCCACCAAGCCCACATGTCATGGTGTCCTTGAGCAACACCTAGTCCCTAAGCTCCCCAGGCGCTTATATAGCTTCCTGCTGCTCCACTTGGTTGTATCGCACGTGTGATGGGTCAAATGCAGAGCACAACTTTCATCATTACATGGGAACATGCATTGATGACAATACRTGGCACATTATTACATTATCAACGGCATAGTATATACACCCAATGCATACTCCACATCGTGATGCAAAATAAGACACAATACATACAGTAGATAGATACAAAGTATGTGTGCACATCTGTATGAGGAGTAAGTCTAGGATCAATGAATCCAACAGAAACTTTAAGAATATGAAATCTATTGAAATCTATGTAAAAAAACAAGCATTGTAATAAGTGTAGTACGTCAAATTACACAAAGTGCATCTGACAATGAGATCAGTGAATGTCTTTCACAATGTTCCCCACCATATTAAATCAAGTTTTTTTCCCCTTCTGCACCCTCATTTACATTGTTAGATTAATTTGACTGCAAGCAGCAAATCAATCTGT